TCTTTTTCGTGATTGCACTTCCTGCCAGCGGACTCGGAATCATCATTCCATATTTACTCTTCAAAATCTCTTGAGCTCTCTGGGCGAAGAACGCATCACTAAACGCTTTGCTGCTGTTGTTCATTTGGTTGTTGGCATTGTTGTTGGTGTTGTTGTTCGGAGTTCCCGCCAAATCATTTTTAGGAGATTCTGCTCCGTTCGAATCAAAAACAATGCCGTGTTTGTTTGATTTGTGCCTCTTGAGGAAGTATTTATTGCAGAACTCTCTGTCGCAAAGATCACAGTAGGCGTCCATATGAAAAACTTTCGATGATTTCATGTCTTGGAATGGAAATTTTTCTGAAGATGTCGGGCCGAAGTTGAGACGACGGTGAGCAGGTACCCCTTCTAGAAGTGCCTTTTCACCAAACGTCATCATCTGCTGCATGTAGTTGCTCTTTAGGAAGTCATTGTTTGGGTTGTTTGGGTTGAAGAACTGATTGACATAGTTGTTTAAATCAATGTTGCCGATGTTGTTGTTAGTGTTGTTGTTGCTGCTTGGCGTCGCAAGCTTGGCAACTTGTGAATTTTGTTCTGAATCATTTCGGCCTGTATTTGTTTTGTCACTGCCTTCATTAGTATCGTCTTCGTCATCGTAATCGTCTTCGTTGTCGTAATTGTTGTTGTTGATGTAATTTTTGCTGTTGCAAGAACTGAAAGTGTCGTTCATTTGTTCGCCATCATCGTTTATACCTTCCATCATATCATCTTTGTTCTGCCTTTGAAAGCTATTTTTGTTGTTGTTGTTGCTGATGTTGTTGTTGTTGTTGATGTTGTTGTTTGACAGTAAAGGGTTTGATGTATTTTCGCTATGTAGCTCTTTTCCGCGCTGATGATAAAGTGTTGGGAAGCAGTCTTCATTGTTGATCTGCTGCTGTTGTTGCTGTTGTTTTTTGTTTATCATACCGTTTTGTTGCGAATTAACATCCTCTTCTTCTTCATCATCTTCATCAACATTCATATGCTCGTCATCATCGTCGTTGTTGTTGTTGTTGGTGGTGTTGTTTTTAGCGAGTTTTGTATTGTTGTTGTTGTAGAATTGGTTGTTGTTACTCACAATATTACGATTTTTCTTGAATGTGTTGTTTTTGTTGTTGTTGTTGTCATCATTCTCGTCTACCGTGTCTTCAGATGTTGAATTTGGAGACAATGGCAAATAGTTGTTGTTGTTGTTAGTGGTGGTGGTAGTAGTAGTAGTAACGATGACGTTGTTGTTGTTTTTGTTGTTGTTGTTGTTGTATACACGATCACATGACCCTGCTAATAAAAATTTAGTGTTGTCATTGGCTAGGTCAGCTTTCAAGTAACTGTTATTTTCAGACACTACTTGCTCGTCAAAAACATCTCGACTGTTGTTGTTGTTGTTGATGCTGTTGTTGTTGTTGTTGTTGTTGATATTGTCGTTGTTGTTGTTGTTGTTAATGTTTTTTCCTACAGCATTCATTCGAACCGGTTTTTGTTGTTTTCTTCTGTCTTTGTTACGGGCTTTAAAGTGATGTTGTTGTTGCTGCTGCTGTGACTGTTGTTGTTGTTGCTGGTTTGTTGTTGCAAATGGTTTCGATTTTTCATTCGACTCAGTTTCAGTGTCTGAATCACTTGAATTTTTCGATCTATCAACGTTCATGTTACTGTTGTCTCCGTTTGTGCAGTTGTTGTTGATGTCGTCGTTGTCGTTGTGGTCGTCGAAGCTGTGGTTGCTGTGGTTGCTGTTGCTGCTGTTGAAATTGTTGATGTCGTTGTTGATTTTGTTATAATTGTTGAAGTTTTGCAGTTGTTGCTGATGTTGTTGTTGTTGTTGTTGGCGATGGTAAGCGTAATATTGCTGCAAATTTTGTTGATGATGTTGCAGGAAGTTATGTTGGTATTCCGGGTACTTTTGTAGTAGTTGTGGAGGCAATTGAGTATTTTTCTGTTGTTGTTGCGACTCTTGATGCGATAACTGTTGTTGTTGTTGCTGCTGTTGTAGTTGCTGTTGAAGTTGTTGTTGTTGTTGCTGCTGTTGTTGAGATTGTTGCGGGTCCTGTTGCGTCGCTGAGATGTGCATGTTGTCGAATGTAAAATTTTGCTGCGCAGGTCTCGATATCACATCGCAACTTAATGCCATGTTATTGTTGTTGTTGTTATTATTATTATTATTATGTTGTTGTTGCTACTGTTGTTGTTGATGTTGTTGTTGTTGTAAATATGATTATTATTGATGCTATTTTAGCGAATCTGTTTCAGTATTTTTTTTATTTCTTTGCAAAAGTCGAAAAAAATACGATATCTTTATTTTTATAAGTCTAACACCATTTAGCTGTAGTAGCTGTAGCAACTGTAACAGCGGCAGTAGTAGTAGTAGTAGTAGTAGTAGTAGTAGTAGTAGTAGTAGTTGTGGTAGTAGTAGCGTTATTTATTGGCATGTGGAATTAAGTTTTTCTTCATTCATTCGGTACGCACCTGAAAATTATAAAGTCAAGATATTATTACCATCCTATCCTCATCATTTATCTTTTAAAAGGTGATTACAATTAAATACACACACCACACACAGACACACACAGACACGCACACAAACAAACACACAAAAAGTATATTTATCTTATGTGTATATGAAATTTTGAAATAAATATGATATATACACAACTAAAACAATGACACAACCGAACATAATAGTAATAACAACAACAACAAAACCAATAACAATAACAACAACATTAATAACAACAACAATAATAACAACAACAATAATAATAATAATAACATATTGGTATTGTGGTACCAAAAGGTATTTCATTTGAAGGCGTGCAGAATAAATTGCTAATTCAAACATCGTTTTGAGGAGCGTTAACGTTAAACCTACCGACGAATTTACAAAGTTATTATTATCATTTGTTATTATTATAATAATAATAATAATTATTATTATTATTATTATCGTCATCACCATCATTATTATTATTATCGTCATCATTATTGTTATTATGTTTGGCTTAAGTATTTTTATAGAGAAACTTTTTTGGATAGCAACTTCACATACAATATTAGGTATGTATAATACTGCTCTCCTTTGCTCTGCCGTGTTTTTGCGATAGTCTGTGTGCGTGTGGGCGTGTGTGTGTCATCTTTGTTTGTTTGTATGTTTGTATGTATGTTTGTGTCTGTGTTTGCGCTTAATTGGACAAACAGCTTACGGCGAACGAATGAACCAATGATTGACTGAGTGAACGAACAAAACAATGAGCTATAGTATCAAAAAGTAACAGAGTTAATTATAGATACAATAATGAATGAATGAATGGGTGAATGAATAGATGAATAAAATAAAGATTGAATGAATGAACTAATAAACAGATAACCAATGAAAAGATTTTAAAATGAATGAAAGAGTGAATAA